GAAGCCTGATATGTGGTTCAATTCTGGCTGGCCAAATGCGACAGGCGATGGTTTCTTGTATCGAGAGCTGTTGTGGTATTCTGAAGGTGCTGCAACGAGTGTAACAGGCCGAAACGACCCTACACGCGAAAGTTGTGGCTGCGGTTACTTCACAAGAAACATTCTTCGTCCATAGCCCAAAATGCTTCGTTCACGCAATCGGAAACCGCTCAAATGAAAAAAATGGCGAAACCCAGCCGTCGATCAAATCAAGTTTGGACCTTCGCGAAAGGTGACGAGATTTCGTGACATCCACTCTCACTTCGCTACCCTCCGTTCCTGCCTCCCGTTACTTCTCAGATTCAGCGCCGCTCCAACAAATCCCACAAATGTGTTCCGCGCCACTCAGATTCAACTTTTTCACTAGAAAAGATTCTGCTCCCTCGCGCCCTGGCTATTGCTCTTTCCTTGTTTTGTTCGCGTGCTCGCCTGCTTCCTTAGCATCGAAGCCTTCAGTTCAGCGCCATGTGCTCGCTTCCTGTGCCTTTGGATCGACCTATGGCGGCCTGTATACAGCCTTCCTCGCTGATCGCCGCCGCCCATCCCCTCTCCGCTCCCCTTGCGCTTCCTGCCGCGCAATCCGCCCAAATCTCCGCCTTCCGCACCACCTTCCCCCACATTGTCTCCCCAAGTGCTCTGCCCGCCCTTTCCCCGAGCGCCCAAGCCCGCGCGCCCTTCCGCGGGGGCTACCGCCACCGCATCGGCGCAGTGCCAGCGCGAGCAACCGCGGTTCGCGCGGTGGAGAACGCGGAGCAGCCAGCAGCGGGCGGCGGCGACCCCGCATTGGCGGCAGCAGCATGGGAGGCGCTAAAATCAGTGCGGGAAACTCGGCCCCTGGTCCACTGCATCACTAACTTCGTCTCTATGGATGCCGCCGCCAACACCCTCCTAGCCGCTGGCGCCGCTCCCGCCATGGTCCATTCCCTAGAGGAGGTCAGCACACCGCAGTAGCAGTTTCATTTGAGATCCTCTGCTGGAGCGACAGAGGCAGCCACTGAGCAAATCAGGAGGTTTCAAGTAAACAAGATCATTGGCGCGCTATGTCAAGTTGCAGAGAAAATTGTATCCCTCCACGCCCGCCCACAGGTGCAGGAATCGCCAGCCTGGCATCGGCACTCCTCGTGAACAGTGAGACTCTTAATCTCACTCTGGTGCTTATATCTCCCTTCAACCCAACCCCCCTACACAGGTGGAGGAGTTTGCCAGCCTGGCATCCGCTCTGTACGTCAACATCGGCACACTGAGCCCTGATTGGGTGGACTCCATGAAACGGGCAGCCAAAGTTGTTTCTGCCCGGAATCGGCCGTGGGTGCTAGACCCTGTGGGTTGTGGCGCCACGTCGTACCGAACTAAGGTGGGCTCCATGCCACCCGCCCATGCCACCCACCAATGTCACCCGCCCATGCCACCCGCCCATGCCACCCACCCATGTCACCCGCCCATGCCACCCGCCCATGCCACCCACCCATGTCACCCGCCCATGCCACCCACCCATGTCACCTCGAGCAGTGGTGAGAGGCGATGCGTCTTTCAAACACACGGCACCCATGTGCTCTGATAGGCGCTGTCCTTTCAAACACACGGCACCCATGTGGTGCTCTGATAGGCGCTGTCCTTTCAAACACATGGCACCCATGTGCTCTGATAGGCGCTGTCCTTTCAAACACATGGCACCCCTTCCTTGCACCCTTTCCGTCCCCTGCCTTTCCCCTTCTTTCAACTTGCCAGACCTCAGCGGAGCTCCTAGCCTTGCGGCCAACGGTGGTGAGAGGAAACGCATTGGAAGTGCTGGCTCTGGCAGGTTGCCTGTCAGCGCCCTCCTTGCACCCCTTCCTTCCCCCCCCTTCCCGTCCCTTCAGACGTCTACAGAGCTCCTATCCCTGCGCCCTACGGTGGTGAGAGGCAATGCATCGGAAGTGCTGGCTCTGGCAGGTGCTGTCAGCGCTACCCACGCGGGTATGCCTAACATCTGAGTGTGCCGATAGCTCCAATATCTTTCTGTTTGTCCTGCTGGGTCGTTTCGGGTGCTAGTTGAGTGATTTTAGAGATTTCTAAAAAAATGACCCCCACTGTAGTTGAGTGTAACGGGTTGTCTTTACCAGTTGACTAGGAAATAAAAAACACCTTGGCCTCGCCTCGTCTCTCCTCCACTGTCTTCCCTCCGCGTCCACCAGGGGGTTGACAGCGCAGCAGCATCGACAGCAGCATCCACACAGTCCTTCACTACCCGCTCCTCTCTCCTCCTACCTTACCTCTTCTCCTTCCCTCTTCCCTTCCCGTCGTAACAGTGCCAGTCTTTGTGACCCCCCACCCCTCCCCTCCCTCATCCCCCACAAGGTCGTTGACAGCACAGGGTTACTAGCAAGAGCATCAGGGGCCATAGTAGCAGTGTCAGGGGCAACAGAATTTATCACAGACGGCTCTACTGTGCTCGCATGTGGCAATGGGGTGCCTCTGCTGCAAGCTATCACTGCCACCGGCTGCAGCGCCACCCCTCCTTCCCTTCTCTCCCCTTCTGAGGCGCCTCAAAGATAGACTCCTCAACGAGGTGCCTCTGCTGCAAGCTATCACTGCCACCGGCTGCAGCGCCACCCCTCCTTCCCTTCTCTCCCCTTCTGAGGCGCCTCAAAGATAGACTCCTCAACGAGGTGCCTCTGCTGCAAGCTATCACTGCCACCGGCTGCAGCGCCACCCCTCCTTCCCTTGTTTCCTTGTCCCTCTACCTCTCCTTCCCTTTGTCCTCACTCCTCCCTCCCCTCCCCCCACCAGGGAGTTGACAGCACAGTGGCGTCGACAGCAGCAGTGGCGGCAGCGCAGCGGCTAGCAGCAGCATCAGGGGCCGTGGTAGCAGTGTCGGGAGCAACAGACTTCATCACAGATGGCTCGACCGTGCTCGCATGTGGCAATGGGATGCCTCTGCTGCAAGCTATCACTGCCACCGGCTGCAGCGTCACTGCACTCATTGCAGCCTTCGTTGCTGCTGCTGCTGCGGATGCTGCTGCTACCGATGCTGCTTCTGAATCCTCGTCCTCGTTATTGTCTTCCTCGGGTGTTTCTGTATCGTCGCCTCTTCTCGCCACTGCCTGCGCTCTCGCCATATACGGGTACGTTTCATCCCTCTCTTTGTACCCCCTGTCCTTCCTGCTCCATCCTTTCTGCATTGCTTTTCATATGCACACCTCAAATCCCCCTCTGACCTTTTATTCTCATCACCTTCTAATTTTCTTCGTCGCTTTTTCGTGCAGGTTGGCAGCTGAGGTGGCATCAGTGGCAGCTGGCGTCCAGGGGCCTGGTTCCCTGAGAGTAGGACTCATGGATGCTTTGTACTCATTACAAGAGGAGCAGATCCTTCAAGGAGTAAGGCTAAACATCATTTCCAGTTAATCTATGAAACATAAGTACACCCATATCTAATCTTTATAATAAACACTCATCAAGCAGTGTTTTGGTGCTGCGAGGACTGTACCGACTCAGCATGAGCACCAAAAAGCAGCCTATTCTTTCGGCGCCTGGAAAGTAGGCACCGGAAGGAGGCCACGTGTTTTCCACTCTGGAACGGGAATCAGGTCAGCTGGAAAGCCAACTTACGGGCCTGATGACAACCCTCCCTCATTTGTGTCGGGATGCAGGCAGTGGGGAATAGTCCCCTAAGCCAAACAGGTTTTTCACGCCGGAATTAGGATCAAATCGCCAGGCCATATCACATCAGGGTCTTGTAGCGTGCCTTCCTCGTTTGCATCGATCAGAGCGTCGGGATGCACGCAGTGGCGATTGGCTATGGAGCACACCGTGTCGCCGGATTGCACCTGGGGGTACGGCAGAGAGGAGGAGAAAACACAAGGGGATGAGAGAGGAGTGGGCAAGCAAGAGCAGGAGATGCTATGGAGCACACGGTGGCGATCGGTCAGAGCGCCGGGATCCAGACAATGGCGATCGGCAATGGAGCACACCGTGCCGCCTGCTCTCGCCTGGAAAGGGCAAGGAGAGGAAGAGGGACGGGCAGAGGGTAATAGCGAAAGAAAGGACGGTTAATGAGAGATTAATTCGGTATGGAGGCAGTGGCGATCGGCAATCGAACAGACCGTGTTGCCTGCTCGCAGCTGAATTACAGTTGTGGGTACAAGGATGGGAGAGAGAGAGCGGGGGCACAAGGGGGGATGTCTGGAAATATGGGAGCACACCGTGCCGCCTGCTCGCACCTGGGGTAGAGTTGTGGGAACAAAGATGGGAGAGAGGGAGAGGGCACAAGGATTGATGTCTGGAAATATGGGAGCACACCGTGCTGCCTGCTCGCACCTGGGGTAGAGTTGTGGGAACAAAGATGGGAGAGAGGGAGAGGGCACAAGGAGGGATGTCTGGACATATGGGAGCAGGTGTCGCCTGCTCGCACTGGGGCTGGGAGGGCACAAACGTCAAGCCAGTGGCAGAGCTGGTATATTGGCAGTGGCGATCGGCGGTCAAACAGACCGTGTCGCCTGTCTGCACCAGGGGTAGGGATGTGGGAGCTAGGATGAGAGAGGGGGGGCACTAGAAGGGATGTCTGGAAATATGGGGCACACACGTCAAGCCAGTGGCAGCACTGGGATCCAGGCAGTGGCGGTCGGCTATGGAGCATACCGTGTCGCCTGTTCTCAACTGGGGTAGGGGGGTGGAGAGGTAGGGGGAGTGGTGGAGAGGTAGGGGGAGTGGTGGAAAATAAGGTGAAGTGGATTGAGCGTGGAGGGGGCAGGAGAGGGCAGGGAAAGAGGCAGGGAAAGCGGAAGACAGCACACGCTCGAGCATATCAGCAGCACACGCCCGAGCGAAGAGTGCACCTCAGCATGTACAAAAACCCACCTCATAATACATGGGGCTTCTCTGTCTGTTCTGCCTGCGTGAATTCCCAATCGTCGCGCCAACCGCCAGCAGAAACAGCCCCCCTGCAACAGCTATCACAGCCCGCCCGGCTCCCCCAAACAGCCCTCCTCCCCCCCCCCCCCTCCTCCTCTCCCTCCTCTTCTCCCTCCTCTCCCTCCTCCCCCCTGCTTCCTTCCACTAGGTGTTCTAACGATGGGATGGAGCCGTGTGTGAGGGCGAGTGAGAGAGTGCGTACGTGGCACAGTCAATGCCAACAGTGCTGCTGCCTTTGCTGCTGCTGCCGCCTCTGCTTCTGCTTTTGCTACTGCTGTTGACTCTGCTTCTTCTTTTGCTGCTGCTGCTGCCTCTGCTTCTGCTTTTGCTGCTTCTGCTCTTGCTGCTGCTGCTGCCTCTGCTTCTAACTGTGCTGCTGCTGCTGCCTCTGCTTCTGCTTTTGCTACTGCTGCTGCCTCTGCTTGTACTTTTGCTGCTGCTGCCTCTGCTGCTGCTGTTGCTGCTTCTGCTTCTGCTTTTGCTGCTGCTGCAGCCTCCGCTGATGCTGCTGCCTCTGCCGTTGCTGCTGCCTCTGCTGCCTCTGCTGCTGTTGCGTGTGCTGATGCTACTGCTGCAGCCTCCGCTGATGCTGCTGCCTCTGCCGCTGCTGCTGCCTCTGCTGCCTCTGCTGCTGTTGCGTGTGCTGATGCTACTGCTGCCGCTGATGCTGCTGCTAAGTCTGCTGCTGCTGCTGTGTATGCTGCAGCTGCAGCCTCCGCTGCTGCTGCCGCCTCTGCTGCTGCTTCTGCCTCTGCTGCTGCAGCTGCCTCTGCTGCCTCAGCTACTGCTGCTGCATCTTCTTCTCCAGCTGCTGCTGACTCTGCCGCTGCTGCCACTGCCTCTGCTGCTGCTGCTGTGTCTGCTGCTGCTGCAGCTTCTGCTCCTGCCACTTTAGCCTCTATTGCTGCTGCAGCAGCCTCTGCTCTTGATACAGCCTCTTCCACTGCTGCTCCTGCTGCTGCTTCTGTAGATTCTGCTGCAGTTGCCTCTGACGCTGCTGCTGCCTCTGCTGCTGCTGCAGCTTCTGCTTTTGCGGCTTCAGCCTCTGCTGCTGCTGCAACCTCTGCTTTTGCTGCAGCCTTTGCTGCTGCTTCTGCTGCTGACTCAGCACCAGCAGCAACCGAACCATCACCAGACTCAGATTCACCACCACCAGCAGCACCAGCACCCGCACCAGCACCCGCACCAGCACCCGCACCAGCACCCGCACCAGCACCCGCACCAGCAGTAGCACCAGCACCGGCAGTAGCACCAGCACCGGCACCAGCATCAGCACCAGCACCAGAACCAGCACCAGCACCAGCACCAGCATTAGCGCCAGCAGCACCAGCAGCAGCACCAGAACCAGAACCGGCACTGGCACCAGCACCAAAACCAGCACCATCAGCACCAGCGCCAGCACCAGCACTCGCACCAGCACCAGCATCAGCACCAGCACTAGCACCAGCGCCAGCAGCACCAGCAGCAGCACCAGAACCAGAACCGGCACCAGCACCAGCACCAGCACCAGCACCAGCACCAGCACCATCACCAACACCATCAGCACCAGCAGAATTGCTAGCCCCTTCCCCTCCCTCTCCCTCCCCGCCTCCCCTTGCCCCTTCCCCTTCCCCTCCCTCCCCGCCTCCCCTTGCCCCTTCCCCTTCCCCTCCCTCCCCGCCTCCCCTTGCCCCTTCCCCTTCCCCTCCCTCCCCGCCTCCCCTTGCCCCTCCCCTCCCCCCTCCCCCTCCCCCTTCCCCTTCCCCAAGTTCCAACCCCGAGCTAGCCAAGCTCTCCTCCGGGCGGTCTGGCTCGATCACTGGGGACAAAACAGGCCGCCCAATGTCAAAGAAGAAGCTGAGTCTCTTCCTGTGTCCGGCCGGCGTCGTAGGTGCCGATCTCGGGCTAGGCAGACTGCTTGGGCTCTCAGGCTCCTGCCAATGCTCCAGCTCCTGCTCCTGCTCCTGCCCCTGCTCCTGCTCCTGCTCCTGCTCCTGCCGCTTACCCTGCCGCTGCCCTCTGCTGAACCCAAACAATCCGCCTGCACTCATTGGTCCTGTACCTGCACTCATTGGTCCTGCACCTGCTCGCTTGCGCGAGGGGGTGAGAGACATCGACCGGAGCATAGAGGACATGGTAGATGACACAGTCTTGCCTGACTTCTCCGACCCTTTCCCAGTCCCTGACACCGACCCTGACACTGACCCTGAAACTGACCCTGACACGGACCCCGACGCCGACCCTGACACTGACACTGACCCTGTCCGTGATCCTTTACTTCTGAAATAGCTGGAACCACCACCGCGTGGGGATGCTTCGCTCCGTGGTGAGGCGTCAGACAACCCACCTGGCGACACTGCTCCACTTAAGGGCTCGCCTGTTAGGCTGAGAGGGCCAGACTTGGACATGCTACTTGTGCTTCGAGTGCTCAGCCCGGTTCCGCTCCAGCTCTTGGGAATACCCAGCTTGTCTAACGGGCCTGATTTCGCTCGAACACGCTCAGGCGTGAGGCCAACTGCTGCTGGTGTTGGGGGTTCAGGAGCAGGCTCTGACGTGGCTGCTGCTGCTGCTGCTGCTGCAGAAGAAGAAGCATAAGTGCCATTCGTGGCAGCACCAGCAGTCGCAATGACATCCTCCGCAGCAGTGGTATTGTCAGCAGTTACTGCTGCTGCTGCCTCTGATGTTGCTGCTGCTGCCTCTGATGTTGCTGCTGCTGCCACTGATGTTGCTGCCTCTGATGTTGCTGCTGCTCCCTCTGATGTTGCTGCTGCTGCCTCTGATATTGCTGCTCCCTCTGCTGCTGCTGCTGCTGCTGCCTCTGCTGCTGCTGCTGCCTCTGCCGCTGCTGCAGCCTCTGCTGCTGCTGTTGCCTCTGCCGCCGCTGCTGCTGCTGCTGCGGCCGCCTCTGCTGCTGCTGCTACCTCAGCTGCTGCTGTAGCTTCTGCTGCTGCCTCTGCTGCTGCAGAAGCCACTGCAGCTGCTGCTGCCTCTGCTTGAGCTGCTGCAGCTTCTGCCGCTGCTGCTGCCTCATAAGCTCCTGCTGACTCTGCTGCTGCTGCCGCCATTGCTGCTGCTGCAGCATCTGCTTCTGCTGCTAGTGCTGCCTCTGCTTCAGCTGCTGCAGCTTCTGCCGCTGCTGCTGCCTCCGCAGCTCCTGCTGACTCTGCTTCTGCAGTCTCTGCTATTGCTGCAGCCTCTGCTGCTGCTGCTGCTGCTGCTGCGGCCTCTGCAGCTCCTGCTGACTCTGCTGCTGCTTCCGCCTTTGCTGCTACTGCAGCATCTGCTTCTGCTGCTAGTGCTGCCTCTGCTGCGACTGCTGCCTCTGCCGCTGCTGCTGCCTCTGCTGCTGCTGCTGCTTCTGCCACGGCTGCCGCCTCTGCTGCTGCTGCGGCCTCTGCCACTGCTGCCGCCTCTGCTGCTGCTGTTACCTCTGCCACTGCTGCTACCTCTGCTGCTGCTGCAGCCTCTGACTCTGCTGCTGCATCTGCTGCTGCTGCTGCCTGTGCTGCTGCTGCAGCCACAGCTGCTGCCGCTGCCTCTGCTGCTGCTGCAGCCTCTGCTGCTGCTGTTGCTGCCTCTGCTGCTGCTGCTGCTGCCTCTGCTGCTGCTGCAGCCACAGCATTAGCTGAAGCCTCTGCTGCTTCTGCTGCAGCCGCTTCAGCTGCTTGTGCCTGTGCTGCGGGCGCTGCCTCTGAAATTGCTGCAGCCGCTGCTTTTGCTGCTGCGTGTGCGGTCTGTGCTGCAGCCTCTGCTGCTGCTGCTGCCTCTGCTGCAGCTGCTGCCTCTGCTGCTGCTGCAGCCTCTGTTGCTGCTGCTGCCTCTGCTTCTGCTACTGCTGCAACCTCTGCTGCTGCTGCAATCTCTGCTGCTGCTGAAGCCTCTGTTGCTGTTGCTGCCTCGGTTTCTGCTTCTGCTGACGCCTCTGCTGCAGCTGCCCCTGCTTCTGCTGCAGCGTCTGCTTTTGCTGCAGCACCAGCCTCTGCTGCTGCTGCTTCTGCTGCCGCTGCTGCCTCTGCTGCCCCAGCCGCTGCTTCTGCTGCTTCTGCCGCTGCAGCTGCCTCTGCTGCCTCTGCTGCTTCTGCTGCTGCTGCTGCCTCTGCCGCTGCTGCTGCCTCTGATGCCTCTGCTGCTGCTGCTGTCTCTGCTGCATCTGCTGCCTCTGCTGCTGTTGCAGCCTCTGCAGCTGTTGATGTCTCGGCTGCCTCTGCCGCCGCCGCTACCTCTGCTGCCTCTGCTGCAGCTGCCGACTCTGCTTGTGCTGCAGCTGCTGCTGATGCAGCCTCTGCTGCTGCTGCTGCCTCTGCTGCTGCTGCTGCTGCCTCTGCCGCTGCTGCTGCCTCTGCCGCTGCTGCTGCCTCTGCCATTGCTGCTGCCTCTGCTGCTGATGCATCCTCTTCTGCGGCTGCAGCTTCTGCCTCCGCTTCTGCAGCCTCGGATGCTGCTGTTGCTGCGGCCTCTGCTGCCACTGTTGCTGCCTCCGCTGCTGTTGCTGCCTCTGCTGCTGCCTCTGCTTCTGATTTTGCTGCAGACACTGCCGCTGCCTCAGCTTCAGCCGCTGCTGCAGCCTCTGCTGCTGCTGCTGCCATTGCTGCTGCTTCTGTCTCTGCTACTTCTGCTGCCTCTGCCGCTGCTGCATCCTCTGCCATTGCTGCAGCCTCTGCTGCTGCTGCAGCTTCTACTTCTGCTGCTCCAGCCTTTGCTGCTGCTGCAGACGCTGCTACCTCTGCTGCTGCTGCCGCAACTGTTGCTGCTGCAGCCTCTGCCGATGTTGCTGCCTCTCCTGCTACTGCTTCCTCTGCTGCTGCTGCGGCTTCTGCTTCAGCTGCTTCAGCCTTTGCTGCTGCTGCAGCCTCTGCAACCTCTACCGCCGCTGCTTCCTTTGCTGCCTCTGTTGCTGCTGCAGCCTCTGCTTTTGAAGCAGCCTCTGCCATTGCTGCTGCAGCCTCTGCCCTTGCGGCAGCCTCTGCTGCTGCCGCTACCTCCGCCGCTGCCACTGCTTCTGCTGCCGCCACTGCCTCTGCCGCTGCTCCAGCCTCAGATGCTGCTGCTGCTGCAGCTTCTGCTGCCTCTGCCGCTGCTGCTGCCTCTCCTGCTTCGGCCACTGCTGCTACCTCTGCTGCTGTTGCTGCCTCTGCTGCCTCTGCTGCTGCCGCAGATTCTGCTTTTGCTGCAGCCTCTGCCGCCGCTGCTGCTGTCACTGCTGCTGCTGCTGCCTCTGCCGCTGCTGCAGCCTCTGCCAATGCTGCTGCCTCTCCTGCTGCTGCTGCCTCTGCTGCTGCTGCAGCCTCCGCTACCTCTGCCACCGCTGCTTCCTTTGCTGCCTCTGTTGCTGCCGCTACCTCTGCTGCTGCTGCAGCCTCTGCTTTTGCCGCAGCCTCTGCCTTTGTTGCTACAGCCTCTGCTGCTGCTGCTGCCTCTACCGTTGATACAGCCTCTGCTGCTGCTGCAGCCTCTGCTGTCGCTGCTGCCTCTGCTGCTGCTGCTGCCTCTGTTGCTGCTGCTACCTCTGCCGCTGCTGCAGCCTCTGCTTTTCCCGCAGCAGCCTCTGTCATTGCTGCTGCAGCCTCTGCTGTTGATGCTGCCTCTGCTGCTGCTACAGCCTCTGCTGCTGCTGCTGCCTCTACCGCTGCTACAGCCTCTGCTGCTGCTGCAGCCTCTGCTGCTGCTGCTGCCTCTGCAGCTACTGCAGCCTCTGCTTTTCCCGCAGCCTCTGCCTTTGCTGCTGCAGCCTCTGCTGCTGCTGCTGCCTCTGCTGCTGCTACAGCCTCTGCTGCTGCTGCTGCCTCTACCGCTGCTACAGCCTCTGCTGCCGTTGCTGCCTCTGCCGCTACTGCAGCCTCTGCTTTTGCTGCTGCCTCTGCTGCTGCAGCATCAGCAGCATCGCTAGCCCCTCCCCCCAGATCCAGCCCCGAGCTAGTAGAGCTCTCTTCCGGACCGTCTGGCTCTAACACCGGGGACAAAACCGGCCCCCCAGCGTCAAGATAAAAGCTGATCTTCTTCCTCTGTGCAACGGGCGGTGTGGCAGGTGCAGGCCGAAGGCTGGGCAGAGTGCTTGGGCTCTCAGGCTCCATCCTCTGCTCCTGCCCCTGCCCCTGCTCCTGCTCCTGAGGACTGCCAGATCCGAACAATCCGATCCCTGCTGCCCCTCCCGCCGCTCTTGCTGATCCCCCTTGTCCCCCTACCTCCCCTCCTACCCCTCTAGCTGACCCCCCTACCTCCCCTCCTATCCCTCTAGCCGACCCCCCTACCTCCCCTCCTATCCCTCTAGCCGACCCCCCTACCTCCCCCCCTATACCTCTAGCCGACCCCCCCTCGTGGAATACCTCCGTTCTGGTCAACGCCCTCCCTTGTGATGCTCTGAATGCCCCTATGCCCCCTCCAATACCCCCACTGAGCCTTGTGACCACTCCTTTCCCGCTGCCTACTTGCCGCAGCAGGTCTTTCTGGACCAGCTTGATAGACATGACTTTGCGAAGGCTCTTCTGAGCCTCCGTTTGCCCGCTTTCCCCACTGCCGAAGCTGCTGCTGCCGCTGCTGGTGGCACTGATGCTGCTGCTGCTGCTGCCCTCACCAGTAGCACTGATACTGCTGCTGCTGCCGCTGCTGCTCTTCTTGCCGCCGCTGCTGAAGGCTTGAAACAGGGAGGTCACGGAGGAACCCAAAGACCTGTCGGACCTTGACCCAGACCAGGAATGCTTACTCTTATCCGAATCACCCGGGGAACCTGCCTTCTGCGGGGAGGCATAGGATACCCCATCGCCTGGCGATTCTGCAGTACCAGTGGGTGGCTCGCCTGTTAGGCTGAGAGGGCCGGATTTAGACTCGCTAAGTGCTGCTCTCCCGCTCTGGATGTTGGGGCGCTTCTCTAGACGCCCTGCCGTTTGAGTCTTTGTAGCACTGGATAAAGCACCTGTTCGGGACCCCTCCTCACTCCTGGGTGAGGCAGGATCGGATTCCCCACTTGGCGACTCTGCTGCACCCATGGGTTCGCCGGTTAGGCCGAGAGGGCCGGATTTAGACAAGCCAAGTGTGCCGCCTGTGCTGTGCTCGGTTGCTCTCCCGTTCGCGATGTTGCTACGCCTCTCTAGATGACCCGGCAACGAGGTGCCTATACTCGTCCTTGCAGCTGCTGCGTCTGCTGGCGGTGGTGCGTCTGCTGGCGGTGGTGCGTCTGCTGGTGCTGCTGATGCGTCTACGGCTGTTGTTGCCGTTGCTGTTGGCTTTAGTGGTGGGGCTGCTGCTGATGCGGCAACACCATCAGCAGCACCATCAGCACTATCAGCCACAGAATCAGGTGAAGCAGCAGCAGAAGCGTCAGCTGCAAAAGCAGCAAAAGCAGCTGCGAAGGCGGAAGGAGCAGCTGTAACAGCAGCTGCGGATTTCGGAACCACAGCAGTAACAGGAGCACCAGGAATGGCACCATCGTCAGACGTCTCCGTTATAGTAACACTGTCAACAGGCATCTCCGTTTCAGTTTGTGTCGGTTGAGAGAGGTGAGACGGTTTAGTGGATAGTGATGTTTGGGTGGTTTGAGTGGTTTGGGTGGTTTGGGTAATTTGAGTGGTTTGGGTGGTTTGAGTGGGCTTCAGGATCCGCAGAACAAGACAAACCTCGCCGACCCCGGCGCCGTCCGCATCCTTGATTTGATACCAGCGCACCACTGTGCCGCCCTTCAGCTGATCAGTCAAGTCCACGTCACATGTGGCCAGCACCTTGTCGCCTGTGTCAGGAGAGCTCACTGCGATCTGGGGGGCGGGATGGGATGGATAGGGTGCAAAAGTGGGGTGGGATGCAAAAGTGGGGTGGGGTGCAAAAGTGGGGTGGGGTGCAAAAGTGGGGTGGGGTGCAAAAGTGGGGTGGGGTGCAAAAGTGGGGTGGGATGGAATGGTAGGGAAGTGGGATTCAGGCTGAGCGATCAGGGAAGGAACAGCGCTGGTGTGACGTCCACGTCACATCTCGCCAGCGCCTTGTCGCCCGTGTCAGGCGAGCTTACATCTATCTGTGAGGAGAGAGGGGACGGGTGCAAGGGCGAAGGAGACGGGCGAACCGACGAACGGCGAACAGGCGAAGGGGCGAAGGGGCGAACGGGCTGAGTACATGGGGAAGGACTCGGTCTGTCACGTCCACATCACATCTGGCCAGCACCTTGTCGCCTGTATCCGGAGAGCTCACTGCGATCTGCGAGGAGAGAGGGTGCAGAGAAGCATGTGAACTGAGGGTTGGGAAGCGGTGCAGAGGGACCAGGGAAAGGGCATGGGGACGAGAATCTCGCGTTTGGATACTCTCTGAGCTGTATACTGTACCGCGGTCGGCACCTCACTACCGAGACAGACGAAGCAGTCGCAGGAGAGACGGATCTGGAGAATGCCGACAAACTCAAGGCCTCTAAGCGCCACGTCTTTCAGGTGTTTGACATTCGGTTGGCAACTTCTAGGTGAGGGGTTGTAGAGTCACTTGAACTGGCTAAAATAAATTTCCGACACGAATTCGTGTGACCCTGTTTCAAGAGGTTCACACTTGACTGGTAAGATACGAGTCCCGAGGAAGGACTGACCTGGAGAATGAGGTCGCCTGGTTGCGGAATGGAAGCAGCAGGCGAGCATTTTAGCAGAATTTGAAAGCTTGAAGCCACTTTGGGAAAAGCTCGCGTCTTTCCAAGCGAGCAAAACCTGAGAATAGTCAAGAGGACTGCGACTGACCTTGAGAATGACGTCGCCCGTTGAGGAATTCAGCGGAATCTTGAAATCTTGGAGCCACTTTGGGGCGGCTCCCGTCTTCGCTGCTGTCGTCACCTGCACTCGTTGCGAACGAGGAAACAAAGAGCGAGCGGGGAAAGAGAGAGCGAGCGGGGAAAGAGAGAGCGAGCGGGGAAAGAGAGAGCGAGCGGGGAAAGAGAGAGCGAACGGGGAAAGACAGAGCGAACGGGGAGGAGCAAACGAGCGTCGGGAAGGGCATTTGTTACGCGAACGAGGAGACGGACTACAAGCATCTGTGCAATGCGCGTGGGATATGCGTGAACATGCAGCGCGATGGGAGTCTCGTTCTGAGGCGCCTCAAAACGATTTGTTACGCGAGCGAGGAAACGAACAACAAGCATCTGTGCATTGCGGGAGGGATGTGCGTGAACTTGCAACGGTTGTTGATAACGAACGCGATGCGACATGCTATGCGGCCTGGCGATATATGCAGGTGTTTTAAATTAAATTACCTGATTCCTTCCCTGAAAATGCTACAAGGAGCGTACAAAGCAGCGTAACGGGTATGGATTACCTGCTTCGTTCCATGGGAAAGCTTACAATTCGGATTAAGAAGCGGCGTAACCGCCGGTCTAGATTACCTGGTTCGCTCCGTGGGAAAGCGACACCGTGGCTCCGCCTTTTTCCTGCGCGTCGCCTGGAAGCTGCAAGTGCCGGCCCTGAACCACGGATGCTTGCAGCATGGCCGCCGAACCGGAGGAAGGCGACGGGGAGCTGGCACCATTGGGTGCACCCATTGTCGTTTCAGAGTCTCGCAAATATCACGCGCACAACTCTCGCGCACACGTAACGCGCACAAGTCACGCGCACACGTCACGCAGCCTGGCTGGACACGTCACGCGCACGCGCCTGCTCTATGTACGACCTAGTTGATAAGAATATATAAATTACCGCGGCTGGTTAGGCTGAACAAAACGCCGCGACGAACAACTCAGTAACGCGAATTACTTAAGTGGCTGCACTACTAAGCGAAGTGACGCGGAATGTGTGGTAGAAGGCAATGAGTTGCCTCCGAGGGGCATCAAAAGCGGGCTCCTCGATTAGACTCCTAAATCACTAACTACTTCTACAAACGAGCACGCCAGTTCCAGAATAATCGCATTTCGGCCAGCTGAGGACTTCCGGAACGTTGTGAAGTGGTGGTGGTGCAGCGAAGGATAAAACTCCCAGAACCAGCATCAGTGAGTTTCTTTGATAACTTGAGCCGAGCTTGCCGAGCAGTGAGATAAGACTGCGGCCGAGCTGTAGGCAAAGGGCATCATAGCTTCCCTGTTTATTCGCAAGCATGAATCTGAGGGTGTGTTTGCAGTGTAGGTTCCATTACGGTTATATGAGGTTCGTCTAGTTCAAAGAGATTGATAAACGGTCTACAACGGTTCAGTAAACGAATGAGGGAGGATCATGTGTCAGAGAGGGACATCCCTCACCTCACCACACCACGCCGGCCTGGCAGATAGGGAAGGGATGAAACGAACCGAGGAAGGGGACAAGGGAGCATGGTTCAACACAACACAAGCCCGTTGGAAAGCGGGAAAACGGAAGATGGTGTCACTTCCACCAACTGTATCGTTTAGGAACGCACTTCAACGTACTAAAACTCTCTGTGACGCCCAGGAACGTCGAATTCGCGATTAGCCAGTTTCCTGCCGAAAAGGAAAACAGTCGGATCGGTTTGATAATCCCCCTCTTGTGTATGGCTGGCCTTGCTGACGTGTATGCTATTCAGAGGACGGATTCTGTTCCATCTTGACAGACCGAACCGCGACGGCGCAGAGGTGGGTGCTTCCGAACATTCGACTGTCCTCAACAGTGGTTCTGTACCCCAAACCTGAACCAGTGTTCTTGTAAGCAATACGTTGCTACACCAAACGAGATGCTTGCTATTACGTACATAATGTTCCACACACCAAAGATGGTCGAAACTGACCCGTTATAATCAACGCGCAAAAAACCCGCGAAACCATCCGTCGTGCTGTATCAACCAATCACCAACTCCCTGACACTACGGTTATCGAGGGTAACACAGATAATCGAAACTGGACCGCGAACATGTCTCGACGGCTAAGATCCTTCGTTTCTCCAGTCAGAGTAGATGTGCGGCCGAAATTGCCGCTGTACATTCTCGAGATCATTCGCCAAGCAGGGGGAACGCCAGCGCATGGCGCAGAAGGGCGAGGCCCTATGGAAGGTGTGTGGTTGTTGTAGAAGTACACTTTATTTGGCTTTGGGTTACTCTATTTTTCAGCGCGTCTTGCAACAAAAACGCGAAACACCAAAACCTGGGGCAAATGCGACATTATCCAAAAATTAGTTAAAAAATGCAATCCTGGCGTGTTGCAAGCTTCGAATTACCTGACAACTGGGTGTTAACATGGTGTTTGCTAATTTGGGTAACCGATTACAAGGCAAAATAGTCATGGTTAAAAATTTAGATCGGTATGTGTGTTCTAAATAGTTACATGCTAAATGAAACGACCCATACGCAATTGATGGTTAGAACACTGATGTACACGTCAAATGTGCCCCAGCAAAACCACCCCTACCACCAAGACAGTACCCCACCCGACCGTACTACAACCGCACAAAACACATCGCGACGAACAAGCCTTAAAATAAGCTCCCACCTTAGAAGCAGGCCACAAGTAGGCTTAGCCATGTGAATCGCAACACATGCTGCGATTACTTCAGACATAGGCTAGAGAGAATATCTAACGATCTAAATATATTTTGTCAAGGCTACAATACTAGCTAATGCCGAGCCACACTCACGCAATGTAGTTCGACGGGCTAGCGCGCTGTGGCGCCGGGATTTCTTTTCGATATTTTTCCGTTAAAAAGCAGACATGATATGCCCTTGGAGCTCCTCATTTGTCAGGGCAAAACGGTTATTTTCTACCCATCCGCACCCCACCCAACGCCCATTTCGCCGTCAAGAATCAACCTCCAGCTACTATATGCGCAGTGAGAGCTCAACGTATTTATTTAGTCCCCCCCTCCTTGCCCCCCTCCCTCCCCTGCCTAGAACGTTCGACTCGCCCGACGACCTCCCTCCTTGCACACACGTTGCGCGTTTTTTTTGGCATGGGTGGAGCGGGCGCAGCGGTCGCTCTACGAAGAACCCGCGACGCTCGGTCGCTCGCACTTGTACAGCGCCGCTGGCAGCAAAACCGCCGAGGCATCACGTCCACCCTTCGATGAGTATGGTCCATGGAGTGACATATGAGTGGTTAGGGCGAGTTACATATTTTACAAACAAGGGTCAACCTTTTAGAGAGGTAGGAAGCGGTGTGCTAAGCTTAAAGCGAAAGGTCTAAATAGTGAAGGCGAGTCCAACTTGAAAAGGCCCAGATGTCCGCTTTTGCGACGAAGGGACAAAACTGCGACGGGGCAGATGGTACATTGTCGAGGAATGCAAGCAGGGAAAATTGGGCGAGAAGATGCAATTACCTGATTGGTTGGCGGGGAAAACATTATGTACGGTGAGGAAAATGGCTCGGGCAATTTCGCAAGCAGCGCGCCGCCTGTCTCGGCAAAACCGAGGCTGGGCCCCGATTGGTCGAAATGCTAACCTCACAAATCTGTGATGGTAAAAATTTGTCACCAATGCGAAATGTCACAAGTGCAATTAGATTTCGTGGCCTACGGCTTGGTAAAAAACGGGGGCTACTGCCCGCCCCTCCAAAAACATATTCATTGTTGGGTCGTTTCTAGTTGGGCCCAACTAGAAAGAGGGGTCACTATTATAGTCTTTCGCTTTAACTGCTTTTTATTATCGCAAAAAGATGGTACAATGCGTTGGATTTTCGGATCGATGCCGATCGTAAAAACTATGGAGAAGAGTTCGGAAGTGCTTGGTGTATGGTAGTGCGAGGGTCTAAACATGTCAAAGGCATTCTGTGGCTGTGTTTTAAAGGCACGTTCGGCTTCAGCTGTTGAACGAGCTAGAGGAGCTCGGTATCCATCTGTCCAGACAAGTAAGTAGAGGAGGGGTACAAAGGCAAGTCGCCCGTGGTGCCTACTGATGATAAGAGGATTGCGCGCCGATTCCAACGTGCTGTGTTCGAACTTCACTTGTTGGCAAAATTCGTTACGGAGGTTTAGATAAGAATTCGGATTGGTCTACATTCCGTTTGCATTGATCTTTGAGTGTGTTTTGATTGGTGGATTGTTGGGCTGCCACGATCGTTGCTTCTGATCTAGATTCATATTCTTGTCTTGAGCGACGATAAGCAGGGCGACTAAGGCTGGGAAACAGAACAAGTTTTATTGTATTTTCGTAGTTCTAACGAAACTCTATCGACTGTAACCGAGAGGATATGTACTCTACAGTGGTTGGTTTGGTTCAACAGGATCTGGGTGTCAACAGTAGTCCACGGTATGGAAGGCTTCGCAACGTCAAACCACCGATCTGTATTTCTCAGGATTGTTTCAAAAGCAAGACACACCGTGCTGTACCTCTTGCGACGTCCGTCAATGTCTCACAATGCTTCACTTCCTCTAGCTATTGCAGCAGTAGGAAATTTTTATCTGTTTGATGCTTATTTTCCAGGCAGCCATAGCAAGGCATGGCTCCTGAGCATTCCGCAAGCCGCAAGATGATCTATGCTGGGATCTGTGTCTTCGGGTGATGCCAAGAGGATTTGTTGTTTCCCGTCCTAGCTGTTAACTGGGCATCTCTTGTCCGGAACAGCCAATCTCATACGGAGAAGCCTGGTGGATGTATGCTCTCTAGTTAGTATCTCTTGCAATCTAGACATTTTTAGATTTCAGGTTTCGTCGTAACTTTCCTATCGCCAAATCTTCCACAATGGCTTCCGCGGAGGATCTAAAGGCGGAGAACACGCGGCTTCAAGCGGAGATGCAGTCTATGAAAAAGAAGATCGTCCTAGCTCTTAAAAAGCAACAAGCAGAACTCCACGCGAAAGTCCAGGAGGCGGAGCGAGCGCGGGACGAGGCTCTACAGCGAGCGTCAGCCGCCGAATCAGGAGCTTCTAACGGGGATGCCTCTAAAGGAGCGGATCCCGCCGCATTGCAGCAACTGCAGGACCAATTCAAAGCATCCCAGGAGGAGCTGAAAACGCTAAGGGAAGAGTATGTCGTAGCGAGCGAGAAGCTCAAGGCAGCTGAAGATCAGGCCAGACTAGTGGACGAGGAGAGGAAGAAAGCCATAGAAGCGGCGAATGCGGCGCAGAAGGGTCTCCGTGCGTCAAAAGAGGAGATCCAGATGGTCCGCGAGCAGTGGACGGCGGCCCAAGGCGCGCTGATGACCACTCAGGAGGAGCTCACCGGCCTGCAGGAGCAGCTTAAGAAAGCGCAGGGGGAGACGGCGGAAGCGCAGGAAGGGCGCAAGGCGGCGCAGCAGGCGCTCCAGGCGCTGCAGAAGCGGTTCAAGGCGGCGGAGGCGGAGAAGCAGGGGGATCAGGCGGACCAGCGGCGCGCGCAGGAGGTGGTGGTGCGCCTGGAGCAGCAGCTGAAAGCGGCGCAGGCGGAGCGGGAGAAAGCGGAGGTGGCGCTAAATGCTGCGCAGAGGGAGCTGGAGGGGTCGCGGGCAGTCGGTGAAAAGATGGCCGGGCAGCTGAAAGCAATTCAGGTGGAACTGGAAGCGTCGAAGGAAGAAGGGAAGAAGTTGCAGGTGCAGATGACGGAACTGCGGGAGGAGGCTGGAACGGCTCGGTGTGAGGCGACAAACAAGGGCGCTCAGGCGGAGGAGCTGCTTCAGGCGCAGGCGATCCTGCAGGGAGAGCTTGAGCAGGCTAAGAAGGTAGCTGCAGCGGCGCGGGAGGAACTGGGAAAGGTGCAATGTGAGGCGACGAACAAGGGCGCGCAGGTGGAGGAGCTGCTGCAGGTGCAGGCGACCCTTCAGAGCGAGCTTGAGCAGGCCAAGGCGGCGAGTTCAGCGCAGGAAGAGGCGAAGAAGCTGACGGAGGAGCTTGCACGAGTGCGGGAGGAACTGGGGAAGGTGCAATGTGAGGCGACTAACAAGGGCGCGCAGGCGGAGGAGCTGCTGCAGGTGCAGGCGTCGCTGACGGGCGAGGTGGAGCAGGCTAAGACGGCAGCAGCGGAGGCGCTGGAAGGGGCGAAGAAGCTCGCGGGGGAGCTTGCACAGGCGCGGGAGGAACTGGGGAAGGCTCAATGTGAGGCGACGAACAAGGGCGCGCAGGTGGAGGAGCTTCTGCAGGTGCAGGCGACCCTTCAGAGCGAGCTTGAGCAGGCCAAGAAGGCAGCAGCAGAGGCGCAGGAGCAGTTGGAGCAGAGTCAGCAGGAGGCGGAGCAGGTGCGGCAGGAGGTGGCAGAGAAGGGCTTGGCGCTGGAGATGGCGCAGCAAGAAGGGGATCAGGCGAGGAAGGATCTAGCGCAGGTGAAGCAGCAGTTGGAGCAGCAGTTGGAGCAGAGTCAGCAGGAGGTGGAGCAGGTGCGGCAGGAGGTTGCTGAGAAGGGGTTAGCGCTGGAGATGGCGCAGCAGGATATGGAGAGGAGCAAGGCGGCTGCTGGAGAAGCGGAGGCGGCGCTTCAAGCGCAGCTGGCAGAAGCCAAGAAGGAGCAGGCCAGGTGGGTGGGTGGGTGGCATGCTGACTAACTTATGCGGGCTCATCCGTGTGTTTGTAATTTCGTTTTGAGACGCCTCAAAACGAAATTAGTGATTACTAACACACGAGGCGGCGCTTCAAGAGCAGCTGGCAGAAGCCAAGAAGGAACAGGCCAGGTGGGTTGCTGATTAGCTTTTGTGGGCGAATGGGCTGACTTGCATCGACTCCGCCAGCGGAGGCGGCGGCGTCGGCGGCGGCGCTTCAAGAGCAGCTGGCAGAAGCCAAGAAGGAACAGGCCAGGTGGGTGGCATGCTGACTATCTTATGCGGGCTAATCCATGCGTTAGTAATTTCGTTTTGAGACGTCTCAAAACGAAATGAGTAATTACTAACACACGAGGCGGCGCTACAAGGGTAGCTGACAGAAGCCAAGAAGGAACAGGCCAGGTGGGTTGCTGACTATCTTATGTGGGCTAATGGCGAGCGAGCGGGGTTCAAACGCCTTCCGATGCTGTTTGGTAAAGTGCGTGATATATGCGCCTTCTGCTGCCGTGCATCTCAGTTGAAGGGCGTGCGAGTGGCATTGGTTGGCTCTGTCCCTACTACCACATGGCCTGTGCCCTTCATGCCCGTTCTGCAGCCTTGCGTCTTAGCTCAAGGGCATGCGAGGGGCCATGGATCAAGAGCAGAAGGCATACTCACTCCCATGTGTGTGTGTGCCTGTGGTGCGTGATACGTGTCCTTTGCATCCTTTCTGCAGCCTTGCGTCTCAGCTCAAGGGCATGCGAGGGGCCATGGATCAAGAGCAGAAGGCATACTCACTCCCATGTGTGTGTGTGCCTGTGGTGCGTGATACGTGTCCTTTGCATCCTTTCTGCAGCCTTGCGTCTCAGCTCAAGGGCATGCAATGCGAGGGGCAACGGATCACGTGCAGAAGGGCCGTTTCTAGGGTCTCGTATCATGTACTATGATGTGTGTGCGCGCGCCTGTACCCGTGGTGTTTGCAGCCTTGCATCTCAGCTCAAGGGCATGCGAGGGGCCATGGATCACGTTCAGAAGGCTGCTTCAGAGACAGAGGAGGTATGTATGACGCAGCAAGCACCATCTGCTTTTTGTGCTGCAGTATGCGGGTGACCAGCATGTGAAGGGGCATGGGATTAGGGGCAGAAAGCTGCTGCAGAGACGCATGCATCACGGGCAGACGGCTTTGTCAGAGACAGAGGAGGTATGTATGAAGCAGCATGCACCGTCAGCTATGCTAGAGCGAAGACGTGTTGAAGTGAAAGTTCTGCGGTATGTGGGTGAAGTGAACAGCACGTACTAGGGGCAGACGGCTACTACAGAGAAGGAGGAGGTGCGTGCCCGTGAGAGAAAGGGAGAACAGCAATAGAGCAAGCTTTGTATGGGACGGAGGGTGTACTTGTCAACACGTTAAGCTCTTCCTTGGCAGGCAGGCTTCTTCTAGAGAGCCAGGCTTGTCCTGATGCGTGTTTCCTTCCTTACTCGCTTCTCCCCCGGCACCCCCAATACCCCCTTTTTTTTCGCTTCTCCACCAATACCCCTTATTGTATGGGGAGGGCTCCTTACCAAGGGCTCCTTATCAAGGGCTCCTTATCAAGGGCTCCTCCATCCCTTTAGGCCCGCTGGCGTGCATACGCATACTAGTTTTCTAAAGGCATGTGTACCCCCTTCACGCAAAAGCAGACTCATTTTCTCAACTCATGTGCCTGGTGTACCTGTACCCGTTACACTCGTTTTCTTAACCTCCAATTCAAGGTTAATAGTGTGACTCTTTTTCTCGCTGCCCTGTCACTCAATTCAGAAAATGCAGAGGGAGGCCGAAGCCAAGCTGGCAGATCTCGCCGCCAAGTCAGATTCGCTCAAGGACCAGCTAGCAGCCGCACAATCTGAGCTGGCAGCAGCGCAGGCTGAGCTGGAATCGGCCAAAACCTCGCTGGAAAAGGAGATACACGCAAGGGAAGCAGCGCAGAGAGAAGCACAGGAGGCACGCGCGGCTCTGGATTCTTTCCAGGAAAGTGCGGGGAAGGAGCAGCAGCAGGCGGGGGAGCTGTGGCAGCAGCTGCTAGACGCGAGGAAGCAGGTTGCAGCAGAGACGGATAGGGCTGATGGGAGTGAGAGAGATGCGGAGGGGTTGAGAACGAAAGTGGAGGAGTTGGAGAAGGTGGTTGAGGAGAAGGGGAGGGAAGGGGAGGCGGTGAGGGGAGAGCTAGAAGCCGCTTTGAAGGCGGTGGAGGAGGCGAAGGGGGAGGGTGAGAAGGCAAGGAAGGAGGCGGAGGAGGTAATGCGGGGCAAGGAGGAGGAGATTAGAACCAAGGAGGAGGAGATTAGATCTAAGGACGAGGAGATTAAGGGCAAGGAGGAGGAAATTCGCGGGTTGAAGGAGAGGCTGGAGCAGGTGGTAGCGGAGAAGGGGTCGGGGGAGGCAGAGGCGGCCAGGATGGGCGAAGAGAGGAGGGCGTTAGAGGGCCGGGTGGCGGAGCTCGAAGGGGAGGTGGAGAGGGCTAAAGCGGAGGTAGAGAAGGGCGAAGGTGAGGCGGAGAAGGCTAGAGGGGAAGTGGAGAAGGTTAGAGGGGAGCTGAAGGCGGCAGAGGAGAGGTGGGCGGAGGAGAGGCAGCAGCTGGAGAAGGAGAAAGGGGAGAGGGAGGCCGAGCTGGGGAAGGTCACATCTGAGCTCGAGAAGGTGAAAACTGAGCTGGCTGAGCTGGCTGAGGTTCGGGCACAGGTGGAGGAACTGCAGGGGAAGGTTAAGGAGCTGGAGGAGAAGGAAGGTGAGTATAAAGCGAGAGAGGCTGAGCTGGCGCAGAAACTGGAAGCTGCAGAGGCAGCTTTGGATGCTGCTAAGTCCGAAGCAGAAGCAGCAGTGGCTGCAGCCAAGTCCGAAGCAGCGGCAGCAGCGACAGGGGCGGCGGCAGCAGCAGCAGCGAAGGCAGCAGAAGTGGAAGTAGAGAGTCTTGACGAGGTGAAGATGCTAAGGGAGCAGGTGGCGGGGCTAAAGGCGAGCAAGGCCGAGCAGGAAGAGACGCAGGCGAGGCTAGAGGCGGAGGTAGAGGGTTTAAGGAGCAAGCTTAGCGAGCTGGCCGCCGCCAGCAAGGGGCAGGCGGCGGCTGCAGAGGCGGACGCAGAGACGGCTGCTGCTGCTGCGGCAGAGGCTGGTGTGAAGGTGGGAGAGCTGGAGGCGGCGCTAAAAACGGTTAAGGGAGAGAAGGAGAGGGTAGAGGAGGAGCTGGAGGAGGCGATAGGGAAGGTGAGGGAGGCGGAGAGGAGGAGCGAGCAGGCACAGGCGGAGCTGCAGGGGGTGAGGGAAAAGGGGGAGAGGGACGCGGAAGGAAAGGTTGATGCTGAGAAGAAAGTGGCAGAGCTGACAGCAGAGTTGGAGGGAGTGAGGGCGAGGGTAGAAGGGGCGGAGTTAGAGGCGGGCCGGATGCGGGAGGAGGCGGAGAGGGGGAGGGAGCAGCTCGCCATGTCGGGTGGGGCACAGGCTGAGGAGCTGGCGAAGGTGAATGCTGAGCTGGCGAAGGCGAATGCTGAGCTGGCGAGGGTGACGGGTGAGCTGGCGCAGGCTGCGGCTGCGCGGGTGGCGGCGGAGGAGGCGGCTGCCAGGGTGGCAGGTGCTGCGGGGGAGGCGATGGGGAAGGCTGAGTCAGCAGAGAGCGAGCTGGCGACAGGTAGGAGCATGCTTCGTTTTCCCCTCTTTTTTTGTTTTTGTTTGTTTGTTTGTTTGTTTTTTTTTTTTTTTTTTCGTGTTTCTGCTTTCAGGAACTGCTTGGTGCTTCCGTACTCCGTTTCCTCTAGTTTCCTCTCGTTTCCTCTCGTTTCCTCTAGTTTCCTCTCGTTTCCTCTCGTTTCCTCTCGTTTCCTCTCGTTTCCTCTCGTTTCCTCTCGTTTCCTCTCCGTTTTCTAGGCTGTCTGGTTCTCTTGTGGTAGTTATGGCCCGTTCTCTGCCCTGTATTGCTGCAAGCGTCATCAGTTGCTCTCCTCTCCTCTCCTGACCTGCTTCCCATGCTCGGAATCGCTCTTGTGTGCTGCTGGGCTGTACTGTGCTGTGCTGTTGTGTTCTGTAATGTGCTGTGCGGTGCGGTGCGGTGCTGCGTCGTGTGGTGCGTTGTGATGCGGTGCTGGGCAATGCAGTGCGCACAAAGCTGCAAGCAGACCTCAAGGCAGCGGAGGACAAGTATGCGGAGCTGGACAGCAAGTTCAACCGCCTGCAGAAGAGAGCCAAGCAGCGCATTCAGGAAGTCACTAAGGTATGGAATGCGAAGAAGGTACGGGATGAGGCAGGTACGGGACGAGGCAGGCACGGGATTGGGGAGGTACGGGATGAGACAGGTACGGATACGGTAAATAGGACAAGCAAGCTGCGCTGGAAAGAGGGAGACGGAGGAGGCGGAAACGAAGCTAGCCTTGGCAAGTGAAAAGGTAGCAGCAGAGACGCGGCAGCAGGCAACTTCAAAGTCGACTCAAGAGCGGAGACGCGACAACAGGCAGCGCTGCAGGGGATGAGTGATCGGATTCTAGTTTTGAGGCGCTGCCTGCTGCCGCGTCCTGCTGCAGCGCTGCAGGCGCCTTAAAACTCCTTCTCTTTGTGGTCTCGTATCACCCATGCGTGAGGAGTCTATTTTTGAGGCGCCTAAAAAATAGACGCCTTAAAACTCCTTCTCTTTGTGGTCTCGTAGCACCCATGACTCCTATCGCGCCGCAGCGGGATGAGTTGTCAATGCGGCTGTGAATCCGCCCCCATCCCCCACCCCTTCCCTGCCCACCCCCGCGAGGAGAAGGAGGAGGCGGAAAAGAAGCTAGCAGACGCAAATGAGAAGGTAGCAGAGCAGGGGAGAAGCGGCAGGGGGGAGCAGGGGAGCTGGGGAGCAGGGGAGCAGGGGAGAAGCAGCAGGGGAGCAGAGGAGCAGGGGAGCAGGGGCTGCAGGAGGATGTGGTATTGAGGGGCCTCCAGTGGATTGCCTTCTTCAATCCCCTTCCTGCCCTCACACCTACCATGAAAGGGAGCAGGCGGAGAGGAAGCTAGCGGAAGCAAATGAGAAGGTAGCAGAGCAGTGGAGAAGCGGCAGCAGGTGGGGCTGCAAGAGGATGCGTCATTGAGGCGCTTGAATGCTTCCCCCTCCTTTTTTCCTCTTGCCCTTCGTGCAGGAGAAAGAGGAGGCCGAAAAGAAGCTTGCCGAGGCGAATGAGCGGGTAGCAGCGGAGAAGCGGCAGCAGGCGGGGCTGCAGGAGGATGCGTTATGGATGCACCTTTTTTGTTTCCCCACTCCCCCCTTGCCCTTCGTGCAGGAGAAAGAGGAGGCGGAAAAGAAGCTAGTGGAGGCGAACGAGAAGGTAGCAGCGGAGAAGCGGCAGCAGGCGGGGCTTCAGGAGGATCTGGAGCGGGCCAAGGGGGTGGCGGCAGAGGCGCAGCGGACGGCTGAGAGGGACAAAGAGCAACTGCGGAAGACCAACGCGTCGTGAGTGGTTGAGCTATGAGAGATTGAAACATTAAGGTGTGGGTGTGAAGTGCGTTATCAGAGGACGGCTTAGAGGGACAAGGAGGAGCAACACTTCGTGAGTACTCTTACTAGGCCTCACTAGGAGCAGCGTCTCCAACTCTCTAAGCGTGTAGTTGTCTGCATGACCCGCCTGCATGCGCCCCCACAGCCACTCTCATGCGCCCGCACAGCCACTCTCATGCGCCCCCACAGCCACTCTCATGCGCCCCCACAGCCACTCTCATGCGCCCGCACAGCCACTCTCATGCGCCCGCACAGCCACTCTCATGCGCCCGCACAGCCACTCTCATGCGCCCGCACAGCCACTCTCATACGCCCCCACAGCCACTCTCATGCGCCCCCACAGCCACTCTCATGCGCCCGCACAGCCACTCTCATGCGCCCCCACAGCCAGTTTGCATGCGCCCCCACAGCCACTCTGCATGCGCCCCCACAGCCACTCTTCACACACGCCTCGTTTGGCCATCCTCGGCACTCCTAACCTCTCCGTCTCCAGGCCCAAGGAGGAGGTGGACGAGCTGAGGAGAGCTCTTGACCTCAAACAGCAGACTCTCAAGGAGTCTCGCCAACTGGCAGCAGCCAAGGAGCAGGCGTGGCTGGAGCTGTCGTCCCTCCTTTCCTCCTCTTTCCTCCCTCCAGGCTCAAGGAGGAGGTGGACGAGCTGAGGCGGGCTCTGGAGTTGAAGGAGCACAACCTCAAGGAGTCTCGGCGCTTAGCAGCAGCCAAGGAGCAGGCGTGTAGAGCTGTTGTCCCTCACCCCTTCTCCTTTCCGACTAAACACCTCTCCTCTCCCCACCCCTCCAGGCTTAAGGAGGAGGTGGATGAGCTGCGGCGAGCCCTGGAGCTCAAAGAGCACAATTTGAAGGAATCGCGCCGCTTAGCAGCGGCCAAGGAGCAGGCGTGGCTGGAGCTGTCGAGTTCGTCGCAGGAGGAGAGGGAGAAAATGGCGGGCAAGGTGAAGGAGGTGGAGGAGCGCATGGGGCGCATGGGGAAGGAGCAGGAGGCGAGGGCAGGCGAGCTGCAGAGGGAGCTGAACAAGGCTCTTGAAAGCAGCAGTGCGCTGCAGGTGAGAGCTGTTGTGTTACAGGCTAGGGTAACCATGTGGTAAGGTGTAGGAGCAGGGGAGCTGCAGAGGGAGCTGAACAAAGCACTGGAGAGCAGCAGCGCACTGCAGGTGAGCGCAAGCTTATGCTAGAGGTGAAAGTAGTGGGTTACACAGACAGGCTTTGGAGGGAGCAGGAGGCGAGGGCGGGCGAGGTGCAGAGGGAGCTGAGCAAAGCACTGGAGAGCAGCAGCGCATTGCTGGTGAGGGCAATGTGTTATTGGTGCTACGTGTCACAAAGTTGTAGGAGCAGGAGGCGAGGGTGGGCGAGGTGCAGAGGGAGCTGAACCGAGCGCTGGAGAGCAGCAGCGCGCTGCAGGTGAGAGTGAAGGGTGCAGTACAGGGGAGATCAAGCTTCTGCTGCAGGTGAAAAGAGCGTCTGTAGGGATTGAAAGGAGCAGGAGGCGAGGGCAAGGAAGGTGCAGAGAGAACCGAACAGGGCACTGGAGAGCAGCAGCGCGCTGCAGGTGAGAGACACAAGTGCGGTACAGGTGAGAGCAGTGGTGTTACAGGTTATGGTAACCACATGTTCCCCCTTTTCCGCCCTGGCAGGTCCAGCTGTCGCAGAAGGAGCGCCAGCTGGCGGAAGTCGAGGCCGCCACGTCAGGCGAGCTGGCGCGGCTGTCGGCCACTCTGGAGGCGACACGTGGCGAGCTGCACCGGCTGGAGCAGAAGCTGGGGGAGGAGCGGGGCGGGTGGGAGGAGACTGTAGCGCAGCTGAAGAGGCGGGTGGAGGGGGTGGAGAGGGCGAAGAGGATGCAGGATGTGGCGCTGCAGGAGGCGAAGGGGGCGCTGCAGCAGGAAGTGGAAGGGCAGAAGAAGGCCGTTGCTGCTGCCATGGCGGATCTGGCTGCTGCACGGGCTGAGGTAAGGGGACGGGTGGGAGGGTGGGGTTTGGGCTACCCCGCCCATGGGGCAAGAGGATGCCGGATATGGCACTGCACGCGCTGAGGTAAGGGGAGGGGTTTGGGGGAGAGAGGGGGTGCCGGGATGGGGAGTTGGGATAGCAGAGGGGAGGGGATGGAGAGGGCGAAGAGGATGCAGGATGTGGCAGAGCGGGGGTTATGGGATGCAGGACGTGGCGATCCAGGTGGTTTGGTGGAGCAGTTTGAGATAGTGGGAGTTCATGTGCGATCCCTCCTCTCTACTATTTCTGCTGCTCATGCGCATCCATGTGGCATGGCGCTATCCTCCTGGACCATTGCATTCTACGCCATGCCATCCCATGCCATGTTGTGCCATACCATCCCAGGCCATCCCATGCCATGGCATGCCATCCCATGCCATCCCATGCCAATTCATGCCATGTCATGCCATGTCATGCAACACCATGGCCTTTCACCTCATCTCTTCCTATCGCCTTGCCCCGTTCTCTCCTGTCCATTCCATGCCACATCACGCCACGTTATGCCAGGTGGCGAAGGGCCGTGATGAGCTGGCGGCGTACAAGGTGCGGGCGGCAGCGATGCTGAAGAAGAAGCAGGAGGAGCTGGAGGCGGTGGGGAATGCGGATGCGATGGCGAGTAAAGAAGAGGAGATCAAGGTGAGTGTGTGAGTGAGTGAGGGAGTGAGTGAGTGAGAGTGTACGGGGTGTTACTAGAGAAGAAGCAGGAGGAGCTGGAGGCGGCGGGGAATGCGGATGCGATGGCGAGCAAAAAGGAGGAGATCAAGGTGGGTGTGTGGGTAAGAAGGGGGAGGTTGGCTTATGAGTCGGCTCTAAAAGAGAAGCAGGAGGAGCTGGAGGCGGTGGGGAATGCGGATGCGATGGCGAGCAAAGAGGAGGAGATCAAGGTGCGAGATAGAGTGACTGTAAGGTGGCATAAGAGTGTGAGGGTGTGAGGGGAGGGGGCGGACAGAGAACTCAAGTCATGCTTCCATCCCTATGTTCCACTCAAGCATGTGGCATAATCCTCCTTACCTGCCTTCCCCCTCCTGTCTCTCCCCCTCCTCCCTCGGCGCCACAACAGGAGGCGCGAAGGGCGGAGGCAGCAGCAGTGGCAGAGCGGGACAGAGCGCTCAAGGCACTGGAAGATGCGGCGATGGATCATGAGACCCAGATGGCCACGCGGTGAGACGCGCATGCTGGTGGCAGGGTAGGGCACACATGCATAGTGGTGCGGTAAGGTGTGCGTGTATGCATGGTGGGATGCAGAGGGACAGAGCGCTCAAGGCACTGGAAGATGCGGCGACCCAGATGGCCACGCGGATCATGAGACCCAGATGGCCACGCGGTGAGACGAGCATGGGGGTGGTGTGGTTATGTGTACGGGGGAGCATCGTGAGAGAGAGATTTTGGGCGGCAGGGTAGGGCACACATGCATAGTGTTGCGGTACGGTGTGCATGCACGCATGATGGGATGGAGAGGGACAGAGGAGTACTGAAGGCACTGGAGGACGCAGGTATGGATCATGAGACCCAGATGGCCATGCGGAGAGGCGCACAAAGGCATGGTTCGAGTGCTCTCGTTTGGTAGTATCGTGCGAGAGAGGGAGGCACAGAGCACTCGATAGAGGCAGTGCGGCAGCAGAGCCCTTCGACCAACCTCACCCCTGCCTCCCTGGACCATTCTCTCTCCCCCGTGCCTGTATCCCTTCCCCAGTGACGTGGCTCTTATGGAAGCAGAATCCAAGGTGCGCGAGCTGACAGGGAGGCTGGAGGCAGTGCGGCAGCAGAGCCGGGCGGAGCAGGAGGAGATGCATGCGCGGATGATGGACATGGAGGACGGGTGGCGAGGTGAGGAGGGGGGGTAGCGTTTTAGGGATAGTGGTGCAGGGTGGTCTGACAGTAGTAGAGCAGGAGGAGATGCATGCGCGTGTATGATGGACATGGAGGACGGGTGGCGAGGTGAGGAGGGGGGAGGGGGAGGGGGGAAGGGGGGGGGAGAAAGGGGGTTTAGGGGGGTTTTGTGGAAAAAAGGTACACGGTTGGTTGAAAACGGAGCAGGAGGCGATGCATGCCCGTATGATGGGCATGGAAGACGGGTGGCGAGGTGAGGACAAGGGAGGAGGGGGAGCTATTGAGGAGGCGGGTGGTAGGAGAGTAAGGTGGGTTGACAGGGGAGCAGGAGGAGATGCATGCTGGACATGGAGGAGGGGTGGCAAGGTGAGTCCCATGAGTGGTCTGTGGTTGCCCCGGCTTTTAAAAGAGGGGGGTACAGGGTGGGTTGACAGCAGAGCCGGGCAGAGCAGGAGGAGATGCATGCTCGTATGATGGACACGGAGGAGGGGTGGCGAGGTGAAGGGAGGGGGGGGGGGGGGGGGGGGGGGGGGGGGGGGGGGGGGGGGGGGGGGGGAAGAGAGGGAGAAGCTTTGTGTCAGGTGCTAGGGGATTAGGGGTTCAAGGCGGGTTGACAGCAGAGCAGGAGGGGAGGAGATGCATGCACGCATGATGGACATGGATGACGGGTGGCGGGATGGTTGGTAAGATTATAGAGGCAAAGGGCAAGGCGATAGAGGGAAGGACATCTCATTGCAAAACCCATCCCCCCCCCCCTCTCTTGCACCCCGTATGCAACAACCTTCCAGGGGGCAGACGGACATCTCATCGCCACCCCCTGACCACCAACCCCCCCTTCCCCCCATCTCCCTCCTCCCTTATGCACCAACCCCCCCAAGCAGAGAAGCTGCGGCAGCAGGAGGAGCGGCTCAAGGGGCAGACGGACACTCATGCTGCATCGCTGGAGACTCCCTTACACACACCCCCCTCCCTCTCTTGAGGTGATTTTTGAGTCGACTAAAGAATCCCTCCCTTCACACACCCCCCTCCCTATCTTTCACTTTCACCCCTTACGCAACAACCTCCCAAGCAGAGAAGCTGCGGCAGCAGGAGGAGCGGCTCAAGGGGCAGACGGACACTCACACAGCATCGCTGGAAAGTGAACTGAGAAAGAGGGTGGAGGCGGGCGAGAGGGAGCACGCAGCGTACAGGGAGATGGTAGAGAGGTCTATAGAGGCCAAGGACAAGGCGATTGAGGGCAAGGACAAGGAGATTTCGAGGCTCTCTGCTGAGGCGGCTCGGCTGCAGGAGGCTCTGATCGCGGCTCAGGGTGCTGCTGGTGCTGCGGGAGCGGGGGGGGTGGATGGTGACGGCTCTGTTGAATCTGCTGCTGTGGCTGGAGCGGATATGGCGGCCAGCCCCAGGAAACAGTTCCCAAGCTCGGTGCGTTCACTCACCTCACCCTGATTTGAGGCGCCTCACAACTAAACTTCACTTCACCCTGATTTGAGGCGCCTCAAAACTAAACTTCACTTCACCCTGAGTTTGCAGGGTGTTTTTGAGATTTCTCAATATAAGACCGCCTTTGGCAGGTATCCCTCCCTCCCTCCCTCCCTCCCTCCCTCTCTCCCTCCCTGCCTCTTCTCTTCCTTGCTGCATGACTGATGTGCCTTAAAAGCTCGTTGCCCTAATTAATGCATCCCCCCCTGCTCACCATCTGCAGCCGGGTGCGCGTCTCTCCGATTCAGCCTCGTCCAAATCGGCAACGACAGGCCTGCCTCTTTCCCTTGGTTCGTTCCCACGCCTTTCCTTCTTTTCATCCCGTTTCTCCTCGATTTTCCCCCCCTTTTTTTCTTTTTTTTTTTCTTCTTCTTCTTCTTCTTTTCTCCATCCTCCCTTGCGTGCCTCGCTCTCCCCCTACCCTGGTTGCTTCCAAGTTGGGCATACAATTCTTTTCGATTCTTTTCCCATAAGCCCAATATGTGGGAATGCCTTTCTTCTCTCTCCTCACCTCTTCCTCTTCCTCTTCTCCTTCCACTTCCTCTTCCTCGTCCTCTCCCTCACCACCCTGTCCCCGCACGCCCCTGTGACAGAGGGAATGGGGCTGGCGGACAATCCAGCAGAGAAGGCTGCTATTGCGGAGCAGCACATTCTGGTATGTCCCCAGGCGGTACTTATATTGATAGAAAACAATGCGCATGTATGCGGTAGGCAAGGTCAGGGCAAGGTCCGGGCAAGGTCCGGGCAAGGTCCACTCTCTCTGCCCATCATCTTTGGATGCCAACAGTCTAATAGCACTTCGAAACTAACGTTGTTGCACTTTCCTCCTGCTTCGCCTTTCCCTCGTTTCTCTTTCTACTCCCCCTCCCACCGCCACTTGCCCCTCCCCTCCTGCCGCCACTTGCCCCTCCCCCTCCTGCCGCCACTTGCCCCTCCCCCTCCTGCCGCCACTTGCCCCTCCCCCTCCTGCCGCCACTTGCCCCTCCCCTCCTGCCGCCACTTGCCCCTCCCCCTCCTGCCGCCACTTGCCCCTCCCCCTCCCGCCGCCACTTGCCCCTCCCCCTCCCGCCGCCACTTGCCCCTCCTTGATTTCCCTCTCATCAGCTATCCGTGCCTCCTGTCCTCTTCATCCTGCCCTCTCAACTATCCTCTTCATCCTGTCCTCTCAACTGTCCTCTTCATCCTGTCCTCTCAACTGTCCTCTTCATCCTGTCCTCTCAACTGTCCGCTTCATCCTGTCCTCTCAACTGCCCTCTTCATCCTGTCCTCTCAACTGTCCTCTTCATCCTGTCCTCTCAACTGCCCTCTTCATCCTGTCCTCTCAACTGTCCTCTTCATCCTGTCCTCTCAACTGTCCTCCTCATCCACTCCTCCTGTCACGCACACTCAGAAACCCTTTGTGTTTCTTCTGCTCTACTTTCCCTCATCCACCTAGTTCCTGGCACGGCAGCAGGCGCAGAGGGAGGAGGAGGTAGCGCAGTGCAGGCGCCACATTCAGGCACTGCAGGTATAACTACATGCTGCATATTATTCATACATATATGTATCTGTATAGAATAGATATCTATATATAGATGGCTTTCTCCACATAACAACACCTGTTTGTTCACCTCATGGCATTATTACAGTCTCTATTAGTTCCACATTTACATTTTTGTTTTATTTTATGCTTGCTCTTGGTATCAGATGGACTTAGAAAAGGCGAGCAGTTGTTTTTTAGGTGGCTCAGAACTAATATCTGGGGCTCAAGGGTCAGAAAGAAGTAGATCAGCTCACGGAAGAACTTTTATCTTTCTGTCTCTTCTTCTCTGCGTTCTGTGTCTACCATTGGTACCAGGAGGAGATCACGGATCTGCAGAGGGAGAACCAGCTGAGATCCAAACAGGTGGGTGCCCTGTCCCATTCAGGTGGGCTGCTGTTGCATTCAGGTGGGCTGCTGTTGCATTCAAGTGGGCTGCTGTTGAATTCAGGTGGGCTGCTCTGTTACATTCAGGTTAATTCTGTTGGTGATCAGGTGTGTTCCCTCACAGGCGTGCATGTTCAGGAGGGATCACCCCACCTGCATCCCCCTCCCCTCCACGCATTGCCCCCACCACGACTTCTCCCCTCCTTTGAGATGCTTTTGAGGCGCCTTGAAAGCAGTCCTTTTAAGACGTCCCCAAACTTGACTATATCTGCCAGCATGCATGTCCTGTTTGGATTTACCCACCTGCACTCCCCCCCCCCCTTCCATCTAGTCTTCTCCTCTCCCAGCTCGTTTCTTCAGCGTTGTGTTTTGACATGGGATGTTTCAAAATGCTCATCTAAATGTTTCAACTTTCCTTCCCTTCTGTTCCCTCATGTCTTCTACCCTCGTGTCTTCTACCCTCGTGTCTTCTACCCTCGTGTCTTGTTCCCTCGTGTCTTGTTCCCTCGTGTCTTGTTCCCTCGTGTCGTGTTCCCTCGTGTCTTGTTCCCTCGTGTCGTGTTCCCTCGTGTCGTTTTCCCTCGTGCCGTGTTCCCTCGTGTCTTTTTCCCTCGTGTCTTGTTCCCTCATGTCGTGTTCCCTCGTGTCGTGTTCCCTCGTGTCGTGTTCCCTCGTGTCTTGTTCCCTTGTGTCGTGTTCCCTCGTGTCTTTTCCCTCGTGTCTTGTTCCCTCGTGTCTTGTTCCCTCGTTTTGTGTTCCGTCGTGTCTTGCTGAACAGGAGGCCTTGCTCAAGGAGGAGTTACGAAACATGGAGAGGGCGCAGAAGAGAGAGACTGTCGACATGACATACCTCAAGAACGTCATCCTGCAGCTGCTTATCAGAACAGGTATGGCGGCTTAGCAGAACAGGTGTGGCTGCTTAGGTATGGCTGCTTATGAGAACAGGTATGGCTGCTTATGAGAACAGGTATGGCTGCTTATGAGAACAGGTATGGCTGCTTAGCAGAACAGGTATGGCTGCTTATGAGAACAGGTATGGCTGCTTAGCAGAACAGGTATGGCTGCTTATGAGAACAGGTATGGCTGCTTAACAGAACAGGTATGGCTGCTTATGAGAACAGGTATGGCTGCTTAGCAGAACAGGTATGGCTGCTTATGAGAACAGGTATGGCTGCTTAGCAGAACAGGTATGGCTGCTTAGCAGATCCGGAATCAGTGCGAATCAGATCAGACCAAAGGGCTGCACTCCTGCCTGCCAGTGACTGTGAGTAATGAGTCGATTTTTTAGTCGACTCAAAAATCGACTCATTACACACTTGTTGATGTTCAGCCTGATAACTTCATCTCCTTTCCTGTCTCACCTCCTCTCCCCCTACTCTCACAACCAGACCAAAGGGCGGCGCTCCTGCCGGTGATTGCCATGCTGCTGCAGTTCAGCCCAGACGAGGTGAGAGCAAGGGAACTATAGGAACTATACAGGGGGCGGGGGGAGAGAGGGCTGTGTGCTGTGGTGTGGCCTGGGGATTTTTATCGAGAGGTGGGCTCCTGCCGGTGATTGCCATGCTGCTGCAGTTCAGCCCAGACGAGGCGAGTGTGGGGGAGGACGGGGTAATGTGGGCGGTGCTTGGAAGAATCAGAGAAGACGGGGGGCTGGGTGGGTGAGTGGGCGACCAACCAGACCATTTGGCGAGGGCGGCAAATCTGCCGGTGATTGCCATGCTGCTGCAGTTCAGCCCTGACGAGGTGAGAGCACGGGAATTATACGGACGGGGGATGAGGGGGGAGGGTGGGGGGGGCAGGGCTGTGTGCTGTGGGGTGGCCTGGGGAATTTCTATAGCGAGGTGCGCTCCTGCCAGTGACTGCCGTGCTGCTGCGGTTCTGCAGTGCCGCGGTGCTGCGGTTCTGCAGGAGCTAAGGGCAGGCCGCTTTGGGTGGAGCGTGTAGTGGTTGGTGAGCGTAGCGGCTGGTGAGTGTAGAGGTTGGAGGCCGTAGAGGTTGGATTGGAGGGCGTAGCAGTATGAGGGGAAGAGGGGGGGGCTTGTTGGGTGAGAGTACGACGTCTCTCCTGCTCGATTGGCTTTTGAGTCAACTCAAAAGGCACCTCACTTGGGTTGAGAGGAGAGATTACGAGCAGAGGTTGAGAGCAGAAGTATGGGGGGAAGAGGGGGGACTGCTCGGGTGAGAGTGTGATGTTTCACCGTCCGCCTTGTGCAGAAGCAAGTATGCACAAGGCTCGATTGCCTTTCTTCTGCCTTGTGCACCAGCTGCCTACCACACTACCAGCTCTCCTGTGCGCGTGCAACAGGTGTATTTTGTGGGTGTATTTTGGGTGTATTTTGTGGGAGTATTTTGTGCCGACTCAAAATGCACCTGCTCACTTGCCTTCCTTTTCTCCTTGTGCGGGACAAGGCGAAAAGGTCCTGCTTGCACCACAACGTGCCCTTAGCAGATGAAAGAAATGGCCTTCTCTTATGTGCTCCTTCCTTCCCTCTGTTGCTGCACTCGTGTCATGTGCAGCTGAAACAGTGCCGAGGATCGTGACACTTGGCACGAGTCATGCGAGATCGTGTCGTGACACTTGGCACGAGGAGAATGCAAAGCGGCTGACACAGGCACCCCGTGCGTAAATCTCATTCATGCAGCATGCATCGTTGCCGAGATGCATTCTAACTGCCGATGCCCATACTTGTTCGGTTTCCGGGCATCTCGAGAGATATGGCCTGCCTGACGACTGACATGAGCTTTCACTAGGACCGTCACGAGTCCCCGAGATACTGGTTCCCTAAGATATGCTGTGGTGTGTGAGCGCAACCACGACGAACATTGCTCCACCACAAGTGTGTGTTACCTGCAGACGACGACCCTCGTTTTCAAGTCTTTGTGCTGTAACTTCACACTCACTTCACACTCATTACTACCGGTAGTAATCTAGTAGCCTCGTATCGCATCCATCTTTGTTACTGGTGCTGGTAACCTGGTACAGTGGTTGGTACCCTTGGCAGACTTGATCTTCGCAGCTAAGGTGCTGCTGCATGCAGGATGGCGTAGCATGGAACATGGTTCATAGTTCTAATCATACTCAAAAGAGTACAGTAAACTGTATTCCTTCTCATTGACTGGTCATCGCATGAAATATAAACCAACCTACCTAGGTAACTCACAAGTTCACACTTCCCCGCTGCTGTGTGAGCTCCCGTCCAACTACGGTACCCATCTGTGGCCAATTGCACAGCGCCCTGAGTTAAGCATTAGTACCATCAGGAAGCGGTGCACTAAAGAGAATTTCAACATTTCATTTCAGCAAGCATACAAGGGCTTGGCATTGGCACAGCAGCATCCAACCAGCCAGCCAATCACAGCACTTCACAGATTGTAACCCTGAGCCAGCTTGCAAGCCTGCAGTGAGTCGCAAAGAGCTGTCCTGATGGTACCGGTAAGATGGAAAGGTCACGACGATGGCCCATTGCTCTACTCGTCCTCAGTGCTGCGCAGGCGGGCGTTGCCGTTGATCACCTTCACGTCCAGCTGCTGCGCCCTCTCCACAATGGCCTTACGCTTGCGGGTTGAGACAGCAGACGCGATCTGAGCCACGTACTTCCTGCCAGGGGCAGAAGAAGGTAGCACAAGGAAGGAGGGGAATGGCGATAAGAGTCTCCACTAATCGCGTCCAGCTATTAGACGGCAGAGGGCTGCTGCGCGCCCTCCACTATGGCCTTGCGCTTGTGCGTTGAGACGCCTGAGGCGATCTGAGCACCGTATTGCCTAAGACAAGTGAAGAGGGCAGAAGGAAAACGAATCTGGGTCGCCTGTGAGGTGAAACCCTAGCATTACAAGACACAGATAAACCGATAGGATTGGAAAGCTAAGGAAGACATCAAACACGAATACAAGCACCAAAGGATGTCACGCTTTCCCTGAACACTTACTGCTCATATTCCTTTCCCTCGTCTCCTTTCACTCCTCCCCTCTCCCATCTCGTCTCCCTCCTCTCCTCCTTCCAACCCCCCCCCCCTACCCCTTATGTCCCTCCTCTCCTCTCCCTCCTCTCGCTTCCCTCTGACTTCGCATCGCCCTTGTTCTTCCCCTCCGCTCCTCACTCTCCTTCATACGCCCGCCAGTCCAACGCCACCCACCCTTCTCTCTTTTCCCCCCAAGCGTTGCCCCTAATACACTGCCTGATAGCTCCTGTGCACGAACAGCAGCCCTTCATCTCTCGTTGGTCACATTGACCAACAGGAGGAATCGCGCTTCGCAGCAAGCAACTGACTTTTTTTTATCCACTAATCTACAGGGAATTACTGTACCTGTAGTGCATGAACAGCAGCTCCACGTCCTTCTCGTTGTGCACACTGACATCTGGAACCCGCTGCGCAGCATGTGCCGAGGCTTCTTGATGCTACGTGTACCTGTGTTATTATGTATTTATACGAAACTATCTACAGTAAGTTACTGTACCTGTTGTACATGAGCAGCAGCTCCACGTCCTTCTCGTTGTGCACGCGGAACACCTGGAACCCGCTGCGCAGCATGTGCCGGGCCTACTAGTTGCTACATGTAACTGCTACTTTTTGTACGAAACAATCTACAGTAAACTACTGGACCTGTTGTGCATGAGCAGCAGCTCCACGTCCTTCTCGTTGTGTACGCGGAACACCTGGAACCCGCTGCGCAGCACGTGCCGGGTCTTCTAATTGCTACATTTAACTGCTACTTTTTGTACGAAACAATCTACAGTAAACTACTGTACCTGTTGTGCATGAGCAGCAGCTCCACGTCCTTCTCGTTGTGTACGCGGAACACCTGGAACCCGCTGCGCAGCATGTGCCGGGTCTTCTTGTTGCTGCCGTAACCGATGTTGGGCATCAACGGCGTGCCCTTGAACTTGCGCCGCACGCGCGAGTCAATACCCTTCGGTCGCCGCCAGCTCTCCTGTGGTATGGGGGGAAGGGGAAGGGGAAGGGGAGCAGGAGCGGTGGGGAGAGGGGGGCATCAACGGCGTGCCCTTGAACATGCGCCGAACGCGCGAGTCAATACCCTTCGGCCGCCGCCAGCTCTCCTGCTCGGGGAAAGGGGGCGAGGTGGAGGGGTTGGGGGAAGGGAGGGTGAGGGAGAGGGGGAGGGGGAAGGAAGACGAGGGCTTCAGTGGCGGGAAAAGGCGGGCCCGCGAACGGGTTGGGGGGGGGGGGGATGAGGGTGGAAGAAGCTAGCATCTGGGGCGTGCCCTTGAACTGGCGCCGAACGCGCGAGTCAGTACTCTTGGGAGCAGTCAGTTATCCTGTTGAATGGGGCAGAATGGCAGAAAATTAGGGGAAAGGAAGCTTTTGAGGCCCGTCAAAAATCGAGCCAATACTCCAGAGGAGCAGTCAGTTTTCCTGTTGAATGGGGCAGAACGGCAGAAAATGAGGGGAGAGGGAGTTGGGGGGCGAGTCCGAGAAGGTGGAGGATAACGGAGAGAACGGAGGGAAGAAGAGGTGAGAAAGGATAAGGTGTGGGTGTGAGGAGAGAAGGGCCAAGGGGGGGAGGGGAAATGGGAGGCATGACGGAAGGAAACGAGGGAGGCAGCGAGGGAGGCAGCGAGGGAGGCAGCGAGGGAGGAAGCGAGGGAGGAACGGGAGGAGGAACGGGAGGGAAGTCGAAATTCCTAGGAGACTATCGAGTGGGAACGTGGCTGGCTGCTGAGTCAGCAGAGCCCATTGCTGCAGCTCAATGAGCCGGCACCCCGGTAGACGTTGAAATTAATCGTCCTAACGGCTAGACGTCGACTTTTAGTCGTCAAATCGTCATCAAACTGGACCTCGGAATTTGGCGGACTTGAGGCAGCAAGGAATGGCTAGAAGTTTGGCACGTCGAGCTCAATAAACCTAATGTATCAGGCGTCGCGTCACCGATGTGCTTATCATAACCTGATCCGCGGACGCGCAGAAAAGCCCGCGTTCGCAGCTGCGCTTCCCCGCCAAGAGCCCTGACTCGGCGCTCGGTACACTGTCGGAGTGCGCATACAATTCGCTACACAGCCGGCCTACCCCGCTACCAAAGGGCGCCCCGGCAACATTCGAAAGAGAAGACTTTGGAGTCGACTCAAATTTCACCTCGTTACAGTTCGCTACCAAGCCCGCCTACTCCGCTACCAACGGACGCCCCTCCCAACATTCTGGCAGTTCCTCCTTCCACCCCTGAAATCCTGACAACGGCCAACTCAACAACGAGACTCATCCAGCGCTGACATCTGAAGCTCGACGACCTATCCGACGGATCAAGACAACGCTCAGCACTTCCGCTTCCGTTTCCGTTTTCGCTTTCGCGGAACTCGAGAATGACAGCAACCTATCGCGAGCGAGAAGATGCGACATCAAAGATCTTCACGGCCCGTCTCGGCTTCGGATCGATCGTCACGCGACGGAATACTGCTCTACTCTACAGGCTTTACCCTCCTCGCGCGTCGCTTTACTGCGACGAGAAGAGCGAGTTAAGCGACGGAATTCTGCTCTACTCTGCTCGTCAACTTCGATTCGCTGGTCTGGCGAGTAATGCTACTACAGCCTGCCGACAGCACCTCGCTGCCTGGAGCCTCCCATCGGAACGCCCCTCGATAGAATCACTCACGGGCACGCATTTTTTCCGGTCGGACTGGGGCCGCCAGAACTTGTTCGTCTTCTTCTTGACAATCTTGGGCTTCACGAGCGGCTGCACCATCTTGACGCGCTTCGGCCTTAATCGCCTCGCGGGCACGCTGTTCTGCTGGTGCTGCTAAACTGCTGCTACTCTGCAGCGGAGATTAGGAGAGAGGGCGGAAGAGGAGGGGGAAAAGGAGATATGACAGTGGATGCGGCAGACTAGAAAGGAGAGGGGTGAGTGGGGAGGGGAGTGGAGTGAGCGGGGGAAGGGAGGGGGAGGGGAAGCGAGGGGGGTGGGCGGATTGGGGGAGAGGCAAGGGGAGAGGAGGGGTTTGCCTAAGGGAGAACGGGAGGGAGGGGAAGGCGGGAAGGCTTATGGGCGGAATACTTGCGCTGCCAAACGTACAGTTTTAGGGTTCCGAGGAGGGGGTGACAGTGGTGTCGAAAGGTGGTAGGCCACCAGTCCACAAATTTTGGAGTCTACATGTGATTACTATCTCAAATACAGAAACTCTCTCGATATATAGAATTGGACACATTGCGAACAAGTTGATATGGTCGGTAAATCCTGTAGTTTTTTATCCCTGAATTGTATCCGAAATACAAATGTAATATTTTTCATCCCAAAAAGGTTGATCGGGTCGGGTTGGGTTTTCATTATCATAGTGTTCTTTATCATGCGTTGGTCGTGCAAGTCAACCGTCAGAATCGGAAGAATCAAGATTCAGTGCGACAGCAAGGACAAATAGCCGTCCCGATATTACAGTACGGGTGGTTACCCGAGTCGCCTTATCAAATCGTAAAAGAGAATGCACCCCTTGAAGTGCACAAACAGTTAAACTCTTCATATTTTCTTGTACTCTTATATAAACCTTGTATCCCTTTGCTATAATCAATCACTTGTTCTCAAAAACTAGTTCAAGGGTTCAAACTCAAGACTTCCGTTGTGCTATCAAGCACTCTGTTTCAAGGACATAGCCTTCTGAAAATATCCTTGGGCTATACTCAACCCAGCATAGTATGAGAGCTAGTCAAAAGCTATGCTCCTATTACAAAATCTCTCGGTGAGTTTCTAACTCGTTTGAAGAATTACTTGCAACAACTTCAGTTTATCAATTCAAGATTACAACACATCGCGCCATCTAAAGGCAGTAGGTAGATCCTCTACTGGACCCCCCTCTGCACCCCCACTCTCTGGACTACAAACTGAGGCAGTCGCAGCTTCAAGGGCCTCCCTGCAAACTGTGGCCTCCTCCACCGGCATGGACCCAAATCTAATGGAGAAGTTCTTCTCCTTCATGTCGACCTACAAGCAGTCTTCAGCACCTGCTCAATCGGCACACAGCAACAAGAACAGTGGGGCAGTCCCAATGAGCCTCGACAACGCATCATACGTAAGAGGCGCACAACCCATACAGCACCAACCCTACCAGCCC